GAACGGAAACATATGCACGTCACCGCGTGAGCAGGGACAGCGCTGGGGAAGGCACTTCTCTGGAGTGCTCAACGTCATGAACACTTGGACACCGAACGCGCTGAATGGTATCCCTCAACTACCGCTTGTCGAAGACCTCGCTGAACCTCCCACGCTGCGCGAAGTGTGCCGCACCGTTGCTCGCTTGAAGAATGGCAAGGCTGCTGGAGCCTCGGGCGTCCTGCCGGAGATGGTAAAGGCAGGGGGTGAGTCGCTGAACAACAAGCTTGTGGAGCTATTCGGAGATGTGTGACGTGCCGGCCAAGTGCCGCAGGAGTGGGTAGACGCTACCCTGGTGCCAATTCCGAAGAAAGGGCACCTGACCCGATGCGACAACTGGCATGGCATCGCGCTGCTCGATGTTGTCGGCAAGGTCCTGGCGAGTCTCATTCAGACGAGACTCCAGGGCCTGGCCAGCAGCTTCCTCCCGGAATCACAATGCGGCTTTCGGCGAGGTAGATCCTGCACGGACATGGTGTTCAGCGTACGTCAGCTGCTCGAGAAGACCATCGAGCATACATCCAAGGGTTTCTTCGTCTTCATTGACCTGAAGAAAGCCTACGACTCCGTGCCCCGTGAGTGCCTCTGGCAGGTGCTCTCCCGTGCTGGTGTCCCTCCCCCATGCTTGCAGTAATCCGGTCTTTCCACCATGAGATGTCTGCAGTATTGCGCGTGAGTGGCACAGACGTGGATCCGTTTGGCGTCACCAACGGCTTGAGGCAAGGCTGCACTATGGCTCCTGTCCTCTTCAACATCTTCATGTGGGCAGTAGTCACCAAGTGGCAACAGAGGGTCAGAGGTATTCCTGGCTTCGGTTTCGAGTTCAGCTACCACTATGAGGAGGGTCAACTATATCGCAAGGCACGCCGGGCTGACACCGCTGCCACCGCCCTAGAGGCACAGTTCGCGGACGATTCCTCCCTGTTTGCAACATCGCGTGCTGGTGCTGAGATTGCCTTGGACCTGTTCAACTCGACCGCTTCGGAGTTCGGCCTCACCGTTTAAATAAATCCAACCAACCAACCAACCGTGAGCGCGACCAAAACCAAGTTCTTGGTTGCGGAAGCTGGCGTCACGGCTGCGGACCAGGCGCCCATACAGCTTGCCGGTGTGGACATTAAGTGTGTGCCGGAGTTCAAGTACCTGGGGTGTATCATCCACTGTGGCGGCCGATCTTCGCAGGATATCAGCGCTCGGGTGGCAAGTGCGTCCGGGCTTGTGGTGCTCTGCAGCAATCTGTTTTCAGGAACAAGAACTTAGATCTTCATATTAAACGCTGTGTGTTTAATGCTTGTGTCCTGTCTCTGCTCCTGTATGGGTCCGAGTGCTGGACACCGCTGAAGCAGGACCTCCGTCGCATGTCTGTTTTCCACATGCGATGCGTGCGGTCGATATTGGGTATCACACGCCATCGTTGCTGGGATGACCACATATCCAACAGCCAGCTGCTTGAGTGATGGGGTGACTCTGAAACCATCGTCACCAAGGTTCAGCATCGGCGCCTCGAGTGGCTAGGCCATGTCGCCCACATGGACGACGTGTGGTTGCCCAAACAGTTGCTGTTCGGCACCCTGCCATCTCGTCGCCCGGCACATGGCCCACGTCGGCGGTGGAAAGACTGCGCTGTAAAGGACCTCCGCTCACGAGACCTTGAAGCGGACTGGTACAGAGTGGCCTGTGACTCTCGCCCAGACTGGAGGTTGGCTTACACCTCGGACGCCCCGGATCCCCTCGTACCGGCACCGGTGACTTGTTTCACATGCGCCAGGCACTTCGCACGTCAGGGTGACCTCGCTAGGCACAAGTGCACGGGTGAACGGCAGAAGCCAGTTTCGGAGCGGAGAGGTGCATGTCAGTGCCCTCGGTGTCATCGTTGGCTCCAGAGCCGCGGAGGCTTGGCTGTGCATCGTTGCTCCGCTTCTACCTCGTGCCCAGTACCGACCGAACCAGCTGCTGTTGTCACCGGTGACACTACCGCTCGGAGGTGCTGCAATGCTCACTGTGGCACATGCAATCGTTGTTTCCGCTCAACCCAGGGACGCAACCGCCATCGCTGTTCAACGCACTGCCACCGTCCAACGGCCAGAGAACGGGACAAGTTCCCGCATATGTGTATCTGCTCTCGCCGGTTCCGACTAGTCTCGCATCTGGGGCGCCATCGGGTGGCGTGCTCTTTCTCTCTCTCTGCTGCCCCTCCGGGGCCCACGTGACCCTAGTGGTAGTGGCTCTACAGGACAGGACAGGTGTGTGTGTGTGTGTGTGTGTGTGTGTGTGTGTGTGTGTGTGTGTGCTTGTGTGTGTGTGTGCTTGTGTGTGTGTGTGCTTGTGTGTGTGTGTGCTTGTGTGTGTGTGTGTGTGCCAGCTAGTTCGGTTGGTGGGTACACTTATGCCTGATTGTGTTGGGTCTGTTGCCAACAGGCTTGGCTGCTTGAAGGTGTATTGTTGTATCTGCCACCTTTGTTGGTTTCAGGGTTCATATACTTTCTATTTGAAGTATACATACCTGTTAACCATGGACTGCTTCTGACTAGATTAACTCTTGTGTAATCAATGGTGCTAGTGACGCTTAGATCAGATCCACTCTGACTTAGCCACCCACACTAGTAGCAAGTATTACCTTCATTGGGGGCAGGGGTAACTGCAGTTGGATCCCAGGACGGATACCCTGATGCCGTCAATCCTTTTTCTGCACCTTGTCCTCACCCACTTACTGAGGTGTGGTGAGCCCATAAGTGGGATCATTTTAAGTCCACCCAGAGTTTTGGGGATTTCAGGGGGTGTCGGCCGTTGGGCGGTTCAATCGCCAGTTGAGTCATCTTTCCAAGATTCCTTTTGAGTCTCTCCCCTCTCCCGGGAGACCGGCGTGACCAGTTTTGGCAGTGAGCAACAAGTACACGGACAAGTGTGTGCTTGTGTGTGTGTGTGTGGGCGTGCGTGCATGCGTGCATGCGTGTATGTGTGTGCATGTACTGGTGTGGCGCGAAGTTGTTGGTCATGTGGGACGTGGCACTGCGAAGTACTGCCCAGGCTCGGGTGCATGGATCAGGTAACGAAGCCGGCTCATTGCAATGTGTCAATTGAGGCTGGGACGGGCAGGGGTGGAGAGTGTTGCGAAAAAAAGAACTGAAATTATCCATAATTATAAAAACCGCTCCGAGAGCAGTTTCGAAAAACCTTAACTGGTGCAGTGCATGCAGTCCCCGTCGTAAAAAAAGTATGAAATTATAACTGGTGAGTCACGCGGGGTTTTGAACTGCTCAACGCAAATCGCGAATGAGGTCACCCGAACGCACCAGTAGCACGAGGTCGGCAGCGCACACACTACAACAGGAAGCTCAGCATACATTGTTGGTCCACACTCACTTCTGGTTGAGGCAAAGTCACAGGCACAACACCGTCACCACCACTGCAATCAGCGTAAATATTGCATGTGGGTGATTAGCATAAGGATGTCAGTGACGGTCAAGCACCGCCGAGTCGCCGACCCCAGCCTACATACGCCAAAGTCACTGAACAGAATGATATGAACCTCCCGTTACTGGTGCGTTCGGGTGACGTCATGCGCCATTTGGGTTAAGCAGTTCAAATCCCTCGTCTAAGGGGTCGTCCGTAATCATCGATCCTTTTCACGAGGAGAACAAGTTTCGTTTAAGGGCGCGTTCAGACTACCGATAAAAAGTGACCGATTGGGAAAGTCGCCAAGGTGATTTGATCACGTGACGTTACTGGCACGTTACCGGTGGGAAAGTTTTACTGCCGCGGCTGCTGCGGCAGTAAACTTTTACCGGCAGTAAAAAAGTGCTCAGGCTGCATGCGCGCTGGGAAAATAGGGAAAATCCCTTGTCAGTGCCGCGGTGAGAGCTGAAAACTTCACGGTAACGTTAGTTTGTTATCGGTAGTGTGAATGTCCTTCACGGTTTATCGGCATTCACGGTTTGACGGGGTTCACGGTAGTCTGAACGCGCCCTAAAAGGGTGGGTGGGGTGAGGAGAGTTTCCCATAAAAATATTGACCACTGACACGTCAATCCATTCTAGCTGTCAAGTCAATAATATTTTTTGTTCCAGGGGGAGGGTGGGGTCGAGTCATAACCAAGTCACTCATAACTAAACTTTTCCGTTCCGTGAAAGTTATCGATAATGCCGGATGGCCCCTAGCCATTTCTAATTTCATACTTTTGGCGACGGGGACTACTCTTGGTCGTATGCACAGCCAGCTCGGCCAGAGTCATGACAGAGATGACCTGACGCCCTTGGATCCTGGTTTTTATCCAGGCATAGATCTCAGACTACCTTGTCTCTTGCTCTACCCAAAGCCAAAATTCGGTATGGTTTATTTTCGGTTGGTTTCCTCGGCCCTGACCGCTGGAACGCGCTCCCTGCTGAGGCCCGTTTATATGTTCTTCATTGCACTTATTCCTCAAATCAGTACTTTCCTAGTACAGGGTACCCTGTAAAAAGGCCTTCGTGTGCTAATATGACTTAGGACGTCATCACTTTCTAGCCCTTTAAGGCTGCATTTTACATATACATGAGGCATTTTAATCAGGGTCAAATTTCAACCCGCCATGTACACACACGTACACACGTACACCTACAGTCTACACTACACCATGTACACTAGTACACTACAGATCCCGCGTACCGGTATACTCGGCTACAGATTGTATTGGCCGGTGAAAAATTCTGCCGGGTATGCGGGGTCGGACGAGTGCCATAAGTTCTCGCGTCGCCGTACAACTTTGCGCAGTTCGACAGGATCACTCGCACTACACTCCACCGCAATTGCGCGCAAATGGAACTAGCGATTGGAAAAGTTTCTGTACCGGGCTGTTGCTGGCAGTTATCATGATTGTTATAAGCGTTGCCGCGATAAGTGTAGCGGTACACAAGTTTTGAGGTCTCAAGAAAAGCAGAATGCGAGCATACGCATGCGCAAAGAAAGGCTGGAGAAAGGCAAGGTAGTTCACTCTTTCATTAGTTGTAGATCCAAGGATTAGTTGGAAGAAACACTGCCTCAATTCTCGAACAGCACTCGGTGATCGTCAGGCTACTAATTGCTGTTAACAGACATTACATTGGTTTGTCCCTTACTAACTTGGCCATAGCTTTCGAGTAGGAAATCTCAAGGCGAGCTGTCAAGAAGTTTGATACCATGGGCTGTCTTTCGAAACCGGTAAGTCCGCTTGTTCTTGCAAGGATCTCTCTGATCTGTTGTACTCCTTCGAAGTTACGGTCGAAAATCGGGGCAGACTACGGCAAAGGGGCTCAAATTTCGACTGCAGGGACGTTCCCCAAGGAGGTGTTCTGCGGCGTGCATGGTTTGTGCTGTACATAAGTAGCCTAGCATCTGTGCTTCCATCTGTAGTTTGCAAGCAAGATGTTGCAGTTGTTATACATGTAGTGATTGATGCGAATGTATTTGCCTGATGTGTTCTTCAACACGTCAGGTGATGCGGCCACGAATCCGGCTAACTTTACTAATTTATTAAATGGAATTCTACAACTGTAAACCTGCGATAGTCTGTACTGCGCTCACAACGTCCTTCCCATCGCCCCTCACTAATTTGCACACGCATGCGCAAAGAAAGGCTGGAGGGAGGCAAAACAGTTCAGTTCACTCTTTCCTTCGTCGTAGATCCACAGATTAGTTGGAAGAAACACTGCCTCAATTCTGGACGAGCACTCGGCGATTGTCCGGTTACTAGTTGCTGCTAACAGAAATTACATTGGTTTGTCCCTTACTAACTTGGCCAGAGTTTTCGAGTAGGGAATCTCAAGGCGAGCTGTAACGAAGTTTGATATCATGGGGTGTCTTTCGATACCGGCATGTACGCTTGTTCTTGCAAGGATCTCTCTGATCCGGCTAACTTTGATCTTTTTTTTAATCGAATTCTACAACTGTAAACCTACAGTAGTCTGTATTGCGCTCACAACGTCCTTCCCCTCGCTCCCTCTCTCCCTCCTCCCCATGGTGCCTGCTATGTACGTCGGTCCCGAGACCCTTGGTCGGAGGAGTCCAACGCACCTCACCAGCACAGCTCATGTAGCGCCGACACACACACACACACACACACACACACACACACACACACACACACACACACACACACACACTTACACACACAAAATGTCAAAAAAAGGATCATTTCCTTCTTGTATTGCACGGATGAACTAGATGGACCCATAATAGCAAGAGTACATAACCCCCAGAGTGTGCAACGCTGATCCAGCTCTGCATAGGGTCTTGGTCGAGCGGAATCGGATCTTCTGATGTCATGCGTACACTCCACACCAGCGAAAGGCCGGTCTCGAGTCAGGGCACCATTGTTTTTGATCCAAGAGTAACCGCGACTCCCCGGGTTCTCCTCAGATGTGTACGGTATTATGACGCAAAGATCCGATTCCGCTCGACCAAGACCCTATGCAGAGCTGGATCAGGCGTTGCACACTCTGGGGGGGTTATGTACCTTGATAATAGGGTAATATGGGCTGTAGCTCTGTGTCTAAAGGACTACAAAGTTTAACTCGGATATTGGGCCAATGTAATCATGGATAGAAGGAAGGAAAAACTGTTACTGACTAACTGTCCATCAATGTAACCTTCTACGTTTTTTACATAAACTTGAGCCTCCCAAGTTGGGCGGTCTGTTGCTCTGCGTCATCGAGTTGTAGTAAGGCCGGTATGTCCAATTGTCTTACTAGTCTCGTTATCATCCAGTAACGTTCGGCATTCTTTTTGCCGTGGAACACAGCTCATGCTCATCTTCATAACGCTTTTCTTCTCCTCTACACCCTCTTTGGACCTATTCCTAACCTGAGCCTTCCAAGTAGGAAGGTTGTTGGTTTGCACCTGGTAGATGTGTTCGAGTTAGGTGTCAGGTCATTGAATGTCTCAGTACCTTTTGTTAGTTTTGTGCCATGTTGTCACACTATCCGACATAATTATGATCTGGTTGCATTGGTGGAACTTTATTCATAATTCGTAACATTTCCGTATTTTCTTTTATACATACCGGTACTATTATTATTGTAGTCTTTTGGACGTTGAATCGATTGGTTTTGGTCCGAGAAGGCTGGATACACAAGTCACCTGGTCACTGTACCTGTTTGTTGTTTGTTTGTTTTTTGTTTTTTTTTGTTTTTTGTGTATATTTAACTTCACACATAAATGGGAACTGTGCCCAATAAAATAAAGGCGAATATGGAAGGAATGAAGCAAAGCAGGAAAGGAAACAAATGAGAGTAAGACAGAAGAAAATCGCAAATCAAAATACCCCACGCTCCAGAAGTGCTCAGGAACTGACAGAACCGGTCACATATGCCCGGGGGGGGGGGGGGGGGATGGCACACAATCATATGCCAGAAGGAACAACAAGGGCCGCAGCGGCAACAATAGCAGCAGCATTCCAACACAAAATTTCACGTCTACACATAGACATAGACGTGTTCATCCACGAACACCCAAACTTGTCTCTAGCACCGCGGGCTTCAACTAACAGCCAGTTAGTGCACATTCCTATCACTCGAGTTGAGCCTTGGTGTGAAAATTGTAGCCTGCAGGCGGTCACAAATTGCAACAATCACAAAATTTAGGAACCAAAACTGAGTACTGAAACAGTCATTGACCTGACACCTATCTCCAACACATCTCCAATTCGAAAACCAACAGTCTTCCAACTTGGAAGGTTCATTGTTAGTGAAAGACCGAAGAGGGGAAGGTCAGCGCAATGAAATAAGTGCAAGCTAAGTTGCACATGAACAAAGAATGTCGACTGAAAGCTGGCAGCCTATAATATAGTAGCGAAAAGGCATTGTAGCAGCGCCCCATGTGTGCTTTCCTGCCACGGAGCAGGATTCTGCTAGTGCATGGTCGTTGGAGAGCCAATTCTGCTCCAGAGCTGGGTCAGCTGGTTGGGAGTCTGTGGAGCACCGTATTTGGAGGGGTATAGTGAGCGAGTCTCACGCGAACGTAAACATTAATTAAATTTTCCAAAGCCAGATTTAAACCAGGCCCAAATGTACGTAATACCTCAATCAAATCTTCGGCCAGGAGGCTTCATCAAGATTGAGGAGAAAAAAACAAGTGAGGTCGACTTATATCATGCACCACAAAGTGGAATGAAACTACACCATACGTGATGAGAGTACACCATCCTTTAGACACCGGCACACATACACGCAAACACACACACACACACACACACACACAAACACACACACACACACATACCCAAACACACATACCCAAACACACAGACACACACTCACACTCACACTCACACTCACACATGCTCACACTCTGAATCACACCCATGCTCACAAATGTGCAAAAAAAGACACAAAAAGGAAAAAAACCCAATGTGCCTGAAACCAAGGTATGAAGAGTAGTGGGACTATGCCAAAAATAGGAGATTTTGTCACCAAACTGCACTCACTAAAGGCCGATTCACAATATAACTTCTTGCGACGCGACATGTGACTTGCGACGAGCTGCGACAGCGACACACGATTCACAATCCTTTTCATGTTTACGACAGCTTTTTGCACTAGTAGTACTATGCACATACACTGAACGTGCGCTGCACGTGCACCCGGGGTAGAAACTGTACTCCATTTAGGTATGGCGCGCGTCGCATGTCGCAAAACTTGAACTTTTTTCAACTTCCGCGACAGGTGCCTTGCGACTGCACGCGACAGCTCGTGACAGGTAGTTTCTTGTCGCAACTGTCGCAAATCGCGTGTCACGTCGCGGAAAGTTGTATTGTGAATCGGCCTTTATGCTACAACATTGTGCTGGACTGTATAACAATGGCGTAAACAAGCACACATGACAACAGGACAGTGACAAAAGTAACTTTCAGATGGCGTCTGGATATCTGGATGGCCTGCCTTATCCGGCGGTTCGGCGGTTTACGTACGGCACTTCCTTTGCGAGTATGGATAGTGATGTACAGGGAAGGAATAGCGCAGTGGATGGGTGTTGTAGTGGTTGGTGCAATGCGTAGTGCTCTCCCCAGGGCCTTTGTGAGATATTAGAAATCGCAGTGAAGAGACTACTCGATTTGAGAATGGTGTGTGTAGTGACTGCAGTGGAGCTTGCGTGCCTTAAGAATTCAAGGTATATCCAGAGTATATTCCGAAGCCTAGATCTGTGAATTTTTCAATATAATAATTATAACCGGTTTATGGTTGCAGTCAGAAACACTGTTTTCCATACATTGTGTCATTCGCCTTGTGACACACTGTCATTGTAAAGACAATGCTCTTGTTCGACCATGGACCAAATTATCATGAAAATTAATGCACGTGCTACTAGTGCGTATATTTCTTCCATATACAAAAACTTCGTGACTTTTTGACGGCTGCGTACAGCTCTGGAAGTGCTCACTTTGACTTGGAATGACACTCGTGGCATTGTCTAACCTATTTACAAGCTATATGCAAAAAAAAAAAAAGCAACTTAGACGAATGAGATTGAGTTTATTGAGTCCCGTAGCTATGCAAAAGACGTTATTTCAGTAGCGCCTGGTGCTAGCCAGGGTCCACACAGAATTAATTGCGTGTTTGTTGTGCCATCGGCATGCCTGGTGCTATCCTGTACCTGTCCCGCACCGTACCATGAAAGACAGCCAGCCAGCCAGACAGTCAGACATCAATACGGTGTTGTACGGTATCAGGTTGTAGTATAGCATGTCGTACAACAGTACGATGAAATTGTGGGAGAAACCAGCGACCGCTTGGGAACGATGAACATTACAACAGTCTTATTGTGAGTGAGAGTCAGGCCAAGTTTCTGAAGATCCGTAGCGAGTGCTATCCCGAGCATTATGTTAGCAGTACAAAAGCATAGACAGGATGCGTATTATAGGAGACCCAAGTTGCTGAAGATCAGTAGTCATTGCTGATAACGTGCAGAAAAACTAAATCCGCAGCCTCTTTTGCCGTCGGCAACATTAAGCACAAGCACGCTATCAAGGCAAGGAAATTACTAAGTTGAATTATCTTGATTTTTTTATTCATTTTATTCCAAGCAACACATGGCTGGGGTAGCCAATGATCACTTTGCGTAGCGATTGCCGGGTTTTTATAGCCAACCACGGCTAACAAGGAAAAGAGTAAGAAGTCAAAAAAGAAAAAGAAAAGAAGAAAGAAGCAAATGAGGACTACAATTGTGGTCTACTGGTAAAGCAAGGCGTTCCTGAATGCTGTTAAAGTAGAAAGGCCCTTTGTCCCCTGGTGCAGCAAAAGCCAATGCAAATAGCCATTAAGAAGAGGGGAGTGTAGCAATGCAGAAGAGTGGACCAGAGGAAGTGAGAGTTGGTTCCTAGTGCAGCTATCCCGTCAAAACCAGTCAAATTGTTTAAGATACGGGTTTTTTTTGGAAAGACGAATACGATGGATAAGACAGCACATCATGATTTGTCATCTTTCTAGGAGAGGTCTGGTCGAGGATAACATATAGAGAGCGACACTAGAAACGGACTTGGGCATATGATAAAGAATCTGAACCCTTTCAGTGCCAGGCCCGATGCACGTGGTTGGCCGGGCAATTTTCATGATTTTTTTTCAAATTAGTCGTACCAACTCAAACCGACTTGTCTTCCGCTGGCGTAGCTTGTGCTGCTGCATTCTGCTCAAGCTCGACATCGACATCTCCGATATCCTCAGAGCCGTCCAAGGCAACCACTGCAGTAGGTACGACATCGACCACGGCCCACTCGTCGGCAAAATGTGTTCCATCACGATCGCGGACGGCTATGTCCGCATCCAAGTCATCGCCTTCACTATCGCAGCTCCAGTCATCACTGTCCGAGTCCATGATGGACTGGAGCACCTCTTCAGCCGAAATGCGGCAACTCGCCGTGTGTGAGTGACAGCTAGTGAGACCTAAAGTACGTTCCGTCAGTCTAATTGTTTCTGAATCGAAATATGTTTTTCGCGCTAGTGCTCAGAATGTATGCTCTCGCGCCCATGCTTACTCCAATACGGCGAGTGAGGTCTTATTCAGCAGGGGAAAACCGCTAGTTTCCCCTCGAAAAGTCCCAATCGGCCAAGCTAGATCGTAGTGCATGGCGGGTGAGATACAGTAGTGCGCACTACGAGGACGAGATATCTTGTCCTTGGCCAATCATGTGGAGGTCTGTAGGAGGAGTTATCTCGTCCTTGGCAGTGAAAGGGTTAAGGAGGGAACGATTGTGAATTTCCAGTTTCTGCTGTTGGGTAATAGATAGATTTGTCCAGGCAGTACAGCAGTAGTCAAAATGCGGCAAGATATATGCATTATAAAAAAGAGCACGACAGCTGTCAGGAAGATGGGCGCGGTGTGAGTATATTCTACCTATGGCTGGACTAGTCTTCTTACATATGTGGGTAACATGATTAATGTATTGTATCGTCACTGTATGGAATATAATTTTACCTCATTGGCTCAACAGGTCAATGTATTACTACAAAAGGCCATAAAATCCGATTATAAGGAGATAAAAGGAAAAGAAGGAGCAAACCAAAAGTGGATGAAGTGGGAGAAAATAGCAATCCCAATAAATTCTGCAATTACTTTTGCCTAACCAGGGTTCCAGCCAGGTCAATATAGTAGGGGGGGCGGGCATGGGAAAAGGTTACCCCATGACTCATTTTTTCCAATGTCCAAAATTGTCTTGCCATGCAAAATGTAACATACAGGGTGAACCCCCGACTTCACCCCTCACAAATGTGCCTTTATGAACCCTCTAGTATCGTCTGTATTTTCGTTGAATGGCCGGAAAGAACACAAAAATCGGAAAATGAGAAGGGGGCGGCACTTTTTCACAGGGGGGGGGGGGGGCGCTGCACCCCCTACCCCCCCCCCCCCCCCTTTGGCTAGAACCCTGCTAACTCATATTCAAACTGATTGAAACGTTTTTGCAATACAATGATGTAGCCAATCAATGGAAAAAAAAACATTTCCATCAGTTCTAATAACATGCATGATGAGCTAGGCAAAAAAGCATAGCGTAGGGCCCTGAGCTTCCAAGCTCTCTGTTCCGAGTCTTCTTCGCTCATGTCACTGTCACCTGATTATCGCTGACTCTGCATCACCAACAGTTGCTCGTAACTTGAGCTGCGATTGCAGCAAATTGAAAAGTGCACAGCTTCATCCTGTCAACACTTCAAAAATTTACAATCAAAGCATTGCCTCTTGATATTGTTGTTGCTCCAGGGGTGTTCTCAGCTCCTACGCATCTTGCTATGCCTTTGTTTAATCCACCAAGGATTATCGGCCCTAACAAAGCTCTCTACTCCAGCTGATGTTTCGTCGTGTCAATGTTTAACTTCGGGAGGTACCTGTGAGTTCCTAAAGAGACAGTGTGTTGTATACAGTCACGTTTCACTGATCAGGCGTTCAGTCATTCGGCATGTAGGCCACCTGACAGCATGCAGGCAGCTCAAGTTTGCCTGTGTGTTCCATGCAAAGAGTTGTTACCGTGAAATTTGCAGTATTGCTATAGAGGGGGGGGGGGTCGTATTGATGTTAAAACTTAGTAAACATCAGTGCCGTATGTTTTCTTCATAAAATGCAATTGTGTGATGTCCACAACTTTCTTAGTGAAAAGTGTCGTATACTGAGGAAATGTTAAAATAAGGGAAAACAAGAAAGGAAAGAGGACAATAGACGTCCTTGGCAAAAACGCGCTAATGTTTTTCTTGATGGTACTCTTGCCCGGACATTTCAAATAACGCTAAATCGTAGTGGATTTCACATTTTTCATAAATCGAGACTTTTCGTGAAAGTTCAACTTACACTGGAGGCAGAGCATCCAGAGAGAACCTCATCAAACGGCGTTGCTCAGCAGCATCAGCCAAATCTGTAGATTAGCGCCGTGAATCTGCGTGATTGATTTAATCAAGCTGCCAGCTGGCAGGTGTACATGCGGCGCTCACGTGCTCTAGCCACTGGCTAGTGCGCCAATAACACGGTAAACCTTCACATTGCACATACCTACGGAAGAAGGGGAGAAAAAACGAAGACGAAAAAAAAAAGACAACAATGGGTGTGTAGGCGCTACATGAGCTGCGCTGGTGAGATGCAGTGGACTCCCCCGACCAACCGTCTCGGGATCGGCGTACACAGCAAGCACCATGGGAGAGGGGGGTGAGAGAGAGAGAGAGAGAGAGAGAGAGAGACAGAGAGACAGAGAGAGAGACAGAGAGAGAGACAGTGAGACAGAGAGACAGAGACAGAGAGAGGGAGAGAGAGTACACAAGAAAGAAGAGAGAGAGAGAGAGAGAGAGAGAGAGAGAAAGAGAAAGAGAGAGATGGGTAAGTGAGGGAAAGAGAGTGAAAGAGGTGGAGAGATATAAGTATAGAGAGAGAAAGAGTTCAGCGGCATATCGTCGCTATTACTATAATGCTACTTTTAGAAGAGGGTCAACATAATGATTTGCGTCCACTGATGGCAGGCCAGGGTGATACATGTGCATGGCTAGCACCAATTGTACAGAACTATCACATGTCACATGTTGCACGTTGATACTATAAGTGTATTGTAGTTACGAATTGTGTACGGAACTGTCACATGCTGCAAGGGCAGTATTGTCAAGACCTGCTAGGTCGCTTGCAATATTGGTGCGGTGCGTATTACTGCTATGCATTTCGCGAGTGTAATATTTATTTGTTAGTCTGTTAGATCTGTTACATCACGAGTGCATATCTGTTACGTCTACGTCAAGACACATTTTACGATACAGTAATTGCTATGCGTGTTCGTACCACGACATGTTCACGAGCGGAATATCTTGTGAATCGTGCTAATTTATTATAAGTAGAATTGTTGACACACTAATTTGGTTGCAATGTACATGTACTTACTAGTACTTGATCCGTTGCATTATCGCCATCCACGGCAACTCCGCTACGATCTACTTGGCGAAACTTACTCTCGCTGACAGGGTGTGCTGTCACCCTGTCGCTGGGTGCAAGCACCCCTTGACAGACACTGTTTTCACCTCCGTAATCAACAATTCTTTAGTCTTTCACTTCAGCAGATTGCTAGTTTCTGTTTTGTTCTGCATTCAAATTATTATTGCTTTTCTTTTTTGTTGCACCTGCACTCCGCGCTGCACGTGCACGCGGACTTTGGCAGTCGCCATAATTAGTATCTCTATGGCTACGATGATTCATGCATTTTCTGTACGCTGCATTTTCTCTCTATGCCACGTCGTTGTGTACATGCATGCGGCGCAAGCCAATGCACGCACGCGGGCACGTTTTGCTGAGGACAGCGATTTGAGAGAGAGAGTTTGTCAAGTTCGAGAGAATGGTGGTTAGCTTCTTGCCCAGATTAGTGACAGTTGTGGTTGTTGTTTGCCTTTGCGTTTTCCTGGTTTCATTCTCTGCATTCTTAGTTGTGTCCCATGTCTGCATGCTGTTTTCCGAGTGTCAGTTCACTACACCAGAGTTCGAACAATTATAATTTAATACAGTCTTCACCGAAGGGGAAAGAGTCCTAAACAACTGGCCCTTCGAGCCGGATCTCGGACTGAGCTTGTTCTGTAGAGTGTAGTAGTATGTAGACATTGTAGTAAAGTTATAGTGCTGTGGAACGTAAAGTTAGCATCATGTCCTCGGCGTCAGCTCCGCGTACGAGCCAACGCTCAACCAAGGGTGTGCCGCCATTGAGATATGGACACGAGGAGCCCGAACTCGCCGCGGCTGCGGATAAAAGGAGCTCGGTGTCCGCTGTCCCGTCCAGGGCCAGTAGCGGTTCCCAGCTCAAGGTCGAACTGAAAGCTACAGAGCTGGAAGCGGCGGAGGAGCTCGCCACCATGGAGTTAGATGTAAAGAAAAGGGAGATTGAATTCCGCAAGGACATTTGGGCCAAAGAGTTGGCGTTAGAGGAAGCAATAAAAACGGAGCAGCTGTCCCAGAGGAGTTCCCCGAGGCGGCGAGGGCATGGCTTGACTGCGGAGGCACTTGCCAAGTTTGACGATGCCTTGCAAAGATGTGGCAACACTCGTATCGTCCCGGCCGCAAAGTGCGTATCATTGAGTTGTGTGGACCAGGGTCGCGTTGTCAAGCCAGCAGGGCAAGCTGGTGCCGAAACCCGGGGATATGATAGCCTTACTGAACAGACAGCAGCAGTGGATGGCGCGCGGAACATGGACTGGAGAATGTCAGCCGCAAGGCAGTCAGCTGGCACATCTGAGGCCTCCGAAGATTCCGCAGTGTCATTCAGTCAGGCTCAGCAGCCAAGGCCAATCTGGCACTCAGCTGTGCGGCATCCAGGAGCTGCAGTGCAGCACACAATGGCAGTGCAGCACGGAAAGCGAGCCGTGCACCATCACCACGCTTCAGTGCATCAACCAGTAGCAGCTGCCTCGTACCTAGTGCGGCAGCAGCCAGTGCTCAATCAGCTACCTGTAACCGTTGCGGGTCCACTGAGCATGCCTCAGCCACAGCCACAGCCACCACAACAGTCACAACCGCAGCAGACGTACAAACCACAGCCTCGTCGAATCGTCGAACATCAGACGCTCCCACCCGACATGGCCCGCGTGCAGAAATGGGCAGACGGCATACCAGACGGTTGGCGCCAGGGCATTCGCCAGGCACAAATAAAACCGTTGGAGCTGCCAAAGTTTAATGGGGAAGAGAGCAGCTACATGAAGTGGCAGCAGCAGTTTTTGCGTCTGGTGGACGAGGACCCATATGTGTCCGACCACTACAAAATGGCTCGTCTTCGCGAAGCAGTGGCCGGTGGAGCAGCAGAAGATTTGATAGCGGACTTGTTGGACGGCGAGGGTGCGTACCAGTCCGCAATGGCTGAGCTGGATGCGTGGTATGGTGGCAGCCAGCGCGAGCTCGAGCGCCAGCAGAAAGAGCTGTATGCACTGCCACGCATTCAGCACGACAAAGCCACCGCCGCTCTGCAGACGCTCGCCATCAAGCTCCGCAACGTGCTGCTAAACATGCAGGCGGGCCACATCATGCCGGGAAGAGAGATGTACGTAACGGTTACACAGAAACTGCCCCGCAACCTTCTGCTGCGCTACATTGAGCGTTATGACGACGCCACTGGTAACGTGGATGACCTGTCCAGATGGCTGCTGGATAGAGTGCATCGCATGCGCCAGGTTGATACTCGCATTGGGGACGTCTTGACGGTCAAAAAGCCGGAGAAAGCGGCTACAGGGCGCACGCAAGGCCACCACACCATGGCCACCGTTCCAGCAGCTAGCAGCAGAACAACGTCGGCCTCGGCACCAGCGCCACGAACAACGGTGTGCCCGGTGTGCCAGGGGCATCATGCCCTTGCTGTATGTGCTGAGCTGCGCAAGATGTTGGTGGGCGAGAGGTGGGGAGCGGTCAAGCCCCTGTACAGCGTTTGTACGAATTGCCTACAGACAGGGCATCGTTCAAATGACTGCTCTGCTAAGCCATGTGATGCGTGTGGACGAAAACATAACAGTTTGTTACATGTTTGGAAATCGGACAAGCCACACATTTATATCTCTACTACTGACGCCAATGCCAGACACACAGCGGTCAGCAGTTCGACACAGGCAGCCAGGCAGCGCACAGCAACGCCAACAGCCAGCGTGCCGTCAGCAGGTGCGGCACTGCACATCCTGCAAGAGCCAGCTGCGACTCTACGCGCGTCCGGTGGAATGGCGTTCATGACCGTGTCTGCCACACTAGTCAACAAGGACCGCCAGATGCAGGTGACCACCCTGCTCGACTCAGCGTCATCAACGAGTTACGTCACCGAGTCTGTGGCCCAGGAGCTTGGACTTACGGGTCCTCAAGAGTCATTGCAGACCACAGTACTCGGAGGGAAGACAGTTAGTGGTACCCGACCACACATCAATGTCGGTGTCCAGACTCAAGATGGCAGACTGGCCCAGTTTAGGGCGTGGGTGCTGCCAGCTGTAACGCCAATGAGTACGGTGGACTGGGCCCAGAACAGCGACACGTGAGCAGGAAACATCGAATTCCAGCCGTTGCCGTCTCCCACAGTGGGCATTCTGATCGGTCTGAATGCAGCAGAGCTGCACACGTCACTGGAGGAGCGCAGTGGCCACTCAGAGAGCGGACTGATTGCCCGGCGCACACCACTCGGTTGGGTGTGTTTCGGCCCCTTGGGGAACAACAGTACTGCACTGCAACATACCTGCATCGCCCTGTGCACTGAGGCTGGCGTACAAGAAGAAAGTAAGCTCGATGAGATCGTTCACAAGTTCTGGGAGACAGAAAAGGTGGGCACGGAAGCGGCAGCATCCAATGTCGAGACGCCATCGCCAGCTGATCGCCAGGCCGAGTTACACACCAACGACACTGTGCAGTATG